CCCATCCCCCCTTCTCCCTGAGAAGGGTCCCCATCCCAGTCCACAACCCTATCCCCTGGGAAGGGTCCACAAGTCCACCATGGACAGAAGGCACATACCATGCACCCCACTGGAGGGGGGCCTATGGGACTCAGCATCCCACCTATAGACTGCTGACACCTAAGAGAAAGAGCCTCAGAGTGGAACCTGCATCCTGACCAGATGTACTTTGATTCTGATGACTGCCCTAGGATTGGTAGATATATAATTGTTTGATTGTTTGTATTGTTGCTTTTCTGTTATCACTCTGTATCAATAAATTTGCCTATTATTGAATGGAAAGATCAGAGTCAGTCTTAGGTTGTGCTCACTTGAAACAATGGTATAAGGGCTGGATCCTAAATCCAGTGCCAACAGAGAGTGGGGCGTGGGGAGGGGTGGAGATGCAGCTGGGGGGGAGCTTAGTGCTAGCAGCAGTATGGAGCTCAGGTGGGCAGGGTTGTGAATGTGGAGCTCAGGTGGTAGGGGTTGCAACGGAAGGTGAGGACTGTGGGGACTCCCCCCCCCAATGGCGCCCAGCCCCAAAGCAACAGGCAGCAAGCCCTCAGGGTGCTTGCGGCTTGTGCAGGCACTGCTGCCTGGCAGTGTTCATCTCCAGCCTGTTCCGGGAGCTGCATGTGGTGGCAAAGAGCAGCACCAGGCCAGCCTGCCTCTATCCCCTGGGGTTCTCTGCAGCACACACACAGCTCCCAGCACTTGCGCACCACCAGGGGGAAGCCCCACACGATGGGAGCCAAATGCCTCTGTCGCTCCCTACCACCATGTGCAGATTACAGAACTCTGCTAGAAGTGGTGGGGAGCCCTACCCTCTGCTTCCCAGAGGAGTCCCAGCAGCTGCAAGTAGCTGCAGGGAATGGGGAAGGCAGCCATCTCCATCACACACGGCTTCCCCCCAATGGCACACAAGTGCTGGGAGCTGCACGCGTGCCACAGAGAGCCCCACACAATAGAGGCGGGCCAGCCTGACTCCGTTCCTTTATGCCGCATGCAGCTCCTGGAACTGGCCGGAGTCACGCACTACTGGGTTGGTGGCAGCACCTACCTGGGCCACGAGCACCCTGAGGGCCTGCTGCTACCGGCAGCAGAGGTTGTGCACCGAAAGGGGTTGGGTGTTTGGGGGTCCCCAGACCCTGCCCTCACACACCCCATACCCTGCCCCCATAGCCCCCCCCACACATACACACACCCTCAACATACCCTAAACCCCCCCCACACACACCCCCACCCCCTACCATACACATACCCACCCCCCAACTACACCACACATTTCCCCCACACAATATACAAAAATAAGATTTTATTTTTGAGCTATTATGCAATCATCTCTACATACACTACATGCAAATGCAAATCATGACAAAAAATTTTGTAAATAAAATGTTACAGTAAAATTTTTAACTTCTAATATGATTTGTTTTTTTTCTGGTTCCAAAAATGGCAACCCCTCCCCTCCCAAAAGGAATACTTCTAGGGGCAAGGGGAGGGACTTCCAGTGGCAAATATCAGGAGTTAGGGGTGGGACTTCTGTTCTCAAGATGGTGACCGGGGTGCAGGTACCTGTTAAAGGGCAGAGCTACCTTTGTGGCCCTCGACAGCTCACCGTAACTCATAAGCAGCCATCCATCCCAAATAATTGCCCACCTCTGACCTATGGTCTGACCCAGTTAAAGGTAGTTCTTATAAATATACACTGAGATTAGTACAATGATTTAATTTCTGTAGTGATCAACCTGACCCAACTTTCTGGATGATAGGTCCAGTGTCTATGCAGTAAATTATCTATTTTAGTTAACACAGTATCTAGAAGAAAATGAAATTCTAGTGTTGTGTGTTTTTTATTTCTATGGTCTTAAGCATTTATCAACTTAATAAGATTATAAAACTATGTTCCCAAACTAACACGCATTTATTAGGTTTGCAGTATTGATAAGAACACTAGTAAGGCAATTTCATATTGAAAGGATTATATGAGACCTCCAAGTATACCAAATTCTTTTTACTCACCTAATATTAATTCTGCAAAATTTGCTCTAGAACAAGAGCCAATGAATTAAAGCTAGAATAATTCAAACATAAAATGTAATAGAACAGACATTAATTGTTTAAGCACTGTATTTTATTTTTTCATTTAGAGCATACAATTGAAAGGCTATTATACATTCTGCACTAGCAAAATAGTGCTATTAAGCTCAAGGAAATAAACTAAAATGAATTTAACTGATACATGCTGCTGTGTGTTTAGGAAATGTAAGAGTCTGAAATAAATTTACCAAAAAGGGTTATTTTTAAATTATTGCAGGCTTTAGTATTAATAAAAGATTGTATTCACAGTTGAACATCAAACCTGGCTTGGAAAAGCACTAATACTGTATTAACTCAGAATACAGAAAAGCACAATCACTGAGCCCCTCCCCCAATCAATATGGGGGGGAAACAACTTCTCGTCTTGGATTCAAGTACAGTGGGGGCAGGGAGAAGCTGCTGTACCTGTGACTGCAGCTGCGGCCTTGACCCAGCTCAGAGACGGAACAACAGCCACTGCCCTGTCCTCCCACCTACCCCCTGCCTTCTCCATCAACCTCTTTACACCTAAATTGCCTGCCTTCCGCCACCCCACCCACTCTAGCCCACCACTACCAGTTATCTAGAGTTGCAGCTCTGGATCCAATTCCAGCTTCAGCACTGCTCAGGCCCAGGGCACAGAGCACATGCTGGCACCAGCCCCAACCTGCGCAGAAAGCAGGAGCAGCAGCTATAACCCTGGTCTTGGGCCTGGAGCTGGCACTGCTGTCTCGCTGGACAGGGAACCACAGCCTGCATGTGCTCTGTGCCCCAGGCTGAAGTGGAGCCAGATACATGACTCAAGGTAAACAGTAGCATGGGCACAGACACTGCAGGAAGGGGTAGCAAGTGGGGGAGGAGAGAAGGTGGGAAAAAATGGGGCAAGGTGGAGAAGTTGGGCTGCTCGACTCCCTCCACCATCTAGCCTCTCAACAACCTGGCCTCTGCCACTGCTTGCCTTGTCACAGTACTGGGGGGGGGGGGGGGGGGACGCCCCTTGGCTGTTGTTCGGGGGGGGGGGGGGGGGGGGGAGACACGGACAATTTTTAGACAAACCTCCAATAATCACTGCTGTATTTATTTGAATCCAAGAAGGGGCATCACCCCCCACCCCTTTCGGTCAACAAAAGGGAAAAAAACAAACAGTCTCAGCTTGGATTCAAGTAAATCAGCACGCCAGCTCTGCCCCAGGGCAGGAGCCGGAGCTACCAGGACTGCCGCTGCTACTTGGGAATCATGAAGTCAGCAGCCATGTGATAAGTGTGGGTCACGGGCCAGAGGTAGAGTCTAGGATTGGGTGGTAGTGTGTTGGAGGGGCAGCAGCAGTTCAGGGATCTGGTGGCAGACCATGGGATAGGACAGCAGTGTGTGCCACTGCCCCACCACCTGATTTATACTGTTCCTCCTTTCCATGATCCATGTTGCAGTCAGGACAGCAGTGTGGGTCAGGAAATGAGGCAGCAGCACACACTGCTTCCCTATCCCCTAACCCCAACTGCTGCCTGATCACCCAATATGTGCTGCTACTGTCACATCCCCTAACCCAGCTTCTGCACATCAGCAGTATGGGTCAGGATATCAAGCAGCAGCACATATCAGGAGATGGGAAAGCAGAGGATCCTACTACCCCATCCCCACACAATGATTCCTTATCACCTTATCTGCACTGCTGCCCAATCCTCCATGTGCACTGCCACCCTATCCTGACAAGCACTGCTGCCAGATCAGAAGTACGTGTCTGGGATTGGGGCAGCAGCATAGGTCAGGGAGCACATGCGCATGCAAGATGGGACAGCCAGGATCACATGAAGGATTGTGCAGCAGCACGCATGGGGGATCAAGGGCAGCAAGGCTGGGGATCAGCTAAGGAGGCAGGTAGCACAGGCTCAGAAAGGGAGGGCAAGTGTGGTGGTGCAAGGTGCAGAGGGTCAAGGTGCCTGTCCCACCCCCCATTCCCCCACCCCCTTGGATGGGTTCAAATGTAAGACAAACAGCAAGTAATCAATCTATAAATGGAAAATTACAGCAAATGTTTAGAGTCGAATTACTGGGGGGGGGGGACTTTAATTTATAAAAAAAAAACATTACGAAGTTTTTATACCTAGAATCTAATTATTGGGGAGTCATCTTGGATTCAAGTAAAAGTATACTATTTTCTAGCACTACATTTATTATGAAATCATTTTGGTCAGATTCATTTCAAAGTACACTAGAGGTGTCAAATAAGGGTGCACCAATAAAGAGTTTTTTGGGGTCAATACTGATATCCGATTTTTAAAGAGGCATATCAGCCAATACCAATCTGATTTCCAATACAGCGTGGAGAGCTGCATGCAGCTGGTAAGTCTGCTGTGGTAGAAGGGGAACAGCAGCACAGGGCAGGAGTGTGCGCCCCTGGATCTGTACAGGGCATGGGCAGGATGGGCTGCAGCTGAAGGCTGGAGCCAGGGCTGCACCAGGATGTGTTCAGGGCAGGCAGCAGTAGCACTGGGAGAGAGGCTACAGGGGGTGGGGGGGGCTGCAGCCCCCCCCCCCCAAATTTGCCATAGCCCCCCCATATCCCCCTCCCAGCGCCACCGCCACCTACCCCAAGTACAACCCCAGGTGAACCCCCACCCCCACACCTCCACTCTACTCCCTGTACCAGAAAGAGCCCAGCACAGTCCTGGCCCCAAACCAGTTATAGCCGACCCCACCCGCACAGATCCAGGGGCACATGCCCCCCCATCCTCCCAGGGTGCACACAGAGGCATGAGCCGTCCCCCCACCTGCCTCCCAGACAAACCGCAGCTCCATCCCATGCCTGCCCCACCCCAGCTGGGCAGCACTTACCCCAGGCCCTGTTCTAGCCCCACTCCCTCCCTCACCGTGGGGGGCATTGATCTGCCCACCCCATGCCCCTTCCCCCCTCCCCATCCACCAGAACAGACTTATCAGCTGCACACAGCTCTCCATGCTTCCGGGCTGCGCTTCTTGCTGCCTACGTGCTGCATTGCAGTTGTACACGTACACGGGCATTTATTAGCCAAATTATTGGCCCCAACAGGCCGATTTCCGATGCACTCAATTTTCTTTATTTTGGTATTGATCCGATATTGGACAGATATATCAGTGCACTTCTAGTGTCATATTCATCTGGCTCTGCATATCAGGCCCATGGACCACTGTCCTCCCTCCCTCTGCCTATTTCTGGATACAGTACCTCCCACCCCAGGACCTGCGCCTCCTGCACTGGCCTGTCTGGGACTCACACCATGTACAGCGAGGGCTGAGGATTCGGTGGGTGGACAGGTGCCAGGGGCCTAGCACCGGAGGCCAGATGATGACACTTGGCCCATTGGCTGCATCTTTGATGCCCCAGTATACACTGTATAATAATACCAAATGGTAATTCTGTCTATAATTTAAAATTGAGGGACTTGGTCAAAAGCACCACATAAATTCCTTTACAGGGTAGGCCCCTCAGGCCTAGGGAGTGGCCTACCTCAGTTTTCTCCACTTCCAGAGGCACATCCTAGCAATCTCCAGGGCATACCTCTGGAAACAAGGGAGTCTAGACACTCTGGTTGCCACCCTGGGACTGTGACTGCCAATCAACTGGAGTGCCCTGGCTTTTCCCACTTTCAGAGACCTACTCCCAGAGACTGCCAGGGGCACATCCTTTTCACTCATTTAATTCAAATGGCTAACATCTTAGGATGCAAAGATTCCTAATACCATCCCTCTAGTATTATACATTACTAAAGCAGCACCTTTATGCTTGAAAAAGTGGTTATGTTGGTGTGAGGAAGAGAAGACGACAATTCCGATGCTCCCTGAGGGCAGGCAGGAGCCAGGGACAGAAAAGAGAGCACACTGGGAGCTGCGCTTCCGGAGTTAGTGCTCCGTGAAGCTGGAATGGCCCCAGAAGGGGGCAGGGAAGAAAAGAGACCCAGATGAGGCAGAGATGTGCGATGCGATACAAGAAGGAGCCCAAGGAAGCAAGTGGGATGCTGGGAGCGAGGGAGAGACAACAGATGGCAGATCAAGAGACTAATGCCTTACAATGTAGGAATATAGACTCCACCTGATGACCCACTGACATAAACGAGGTACAGAAACCAGATAAATAGACGGAGAATCCCAATAAACAGATAGGAAGCCCTACAGAAACAAGTAAAAATTCTCCTCTAAGTTTTTATGTTTGGAAAATAAAAAAGAAACAAAAGTGAAGTGGAGAGTAGCGAGCATAGCAAGGACTCTAATAACTGAAGCCCCAACACAGACAATCGGGAGAGATGTCAGAAAAACTTTCATTATTTTATAAACGTATCCCTAAAAGAGAGGAGGATACTGAGCAACTTCATCTAAAAAGAGGGTTTTTTTTCTTGTTTTGTTCATTTATCTTAATTTTGGCTAAGGCTAAATATTGCAATTACCAAAATCTGAAGAAGTGGTGTTAGGAACTGAAGAAAAAAATCTCGAACTACTTAAGAAAACACAATAATTTTTGTTATGTAATTTGAATAATAAAAGACAAGTAAAAGAGAAAAAATTGATCATTATGAGTTTTTACAAAAAGGATTGCTGAATTTCTATAGACTTGGAGGAAGGTTTCAAAGTTCCATGTTACAAGGTGAAGTGACATATTCAGGTTATATAGTGGTGTTCAAATCCATTCCTCCAGATTAAGAAAAACAAACAAACAAACAAAAACCCTTTTCATTTCTACTGAAACATGGCAGGCAAGAATCGAGATCACCACTAAAAATAAACTGGTACTTAAAATCTTTATCTTGTTATCGTCTGTGACCTAATCCTAAAGGAGGTGGAAAAAGATATACCTTTACCCAACTATTATTAGGTGTACTCTCTCACAGTTGGGAAATTTGTTCAAGATCTGTTCTCACATCAAGTCAAATATTGATTTATTTCAAATATGCTTCCAATGCACAGACTGCTTAAGTGTTGTTTTTGTTCGTTTTAAAAAATATATACCTTTAAACCAGTTAGAGGTAAAAAAAAATTCTGTTAAGGCTACACAGACGTGACTAACAAGAATGCTGTAGGTAAGGGGTGTCAAATTTAAGGCCCACAGGAGTGGATCATCCGAGAGTCGCTGCAGGTTAATATTAGTCTCTCCAGTACATTCATTAATTCTTTACCTCGTTTATTGTGCCATTTAAAAATTCCATCTCAAAAAGGGTACATTTTCTTCCAACCGAAAGCTGCACGGCAAACAACCATTTTGATTCTACATCGTGTATTAAACTAATATGCATGTTAAGTACCCTCTATAATCTCACCCACCCCTATAACAGAACAGGGCAGTCACCTCTTTAGAAAAGCACTTTTATCTAAAAAAAAAAAAACAAAACGTACTGTAACTACTTTTTCACAAGCTCAACCAGGTTTTCCCAGGCTTTCCTGCCCTGAGTTTAACACTGAAATTTCAGATCACAGATTAGCTCTTTAAGGCAAAAGGTGATATCCACACAGAATGACTTCACATTATCACCTATCAACACTAGTTCAAAACAAGGAAACACTCTCAGTGAAACCACATTCTTAGAAATCTTCATATAACGCTTATGATTAATTAGTTCCAAAGGCTGCAGGCTATGACTGTCATACTCTAAAGGGATATCCCATGACAGATATTACTTTTTTTTACTGCAAAACAGTATATGAATCGGAGACTTAATTCAGTCAAATATCGAGATAGATAAATCCTCCTTTGTTTACGGTATTCCAGTGGCATGGGTTTCTGTTGATAGTCATGTTCTGTACAAAAAAACAACAACTTATCTGGTCAAATAAAGTTCGTATTTCAAGTTTGACAAAGAATAATTCCCAGTTAACTGAATGGGCCTTGATTTAGATTCCAGAAAGCTTTGGGTCAATTGTTATTGTATTTCTTACTTCTTACTGTAAGAATTTACTATTACATTGCTAGCATACAGTTAAATGTCCTTGACATTCTATATAAAACAAGATAAGGTGACCAAAATCTTTTAAAGCAAGAGACTTAACATACAAGTGTTTATTTAGAGCAAGCAACCACAACCACATTTGTACTCACCAGAACTTTACTTCCAGTTATCTGCATGCAGTGGTCAGCGAAGAGTGATTATGGTGTAAAAAAACAAACATAGCGAAATTAGTAAGCCATCGCACTTCACACAAAAACTCTAATAATTAGTCAATCCTGGCTACATCTTTTTGAATACTTAATTTATAAAATATTTAATAACTGAAGCCATGTAATAGGTACATCATTGGGATGGAGAAAGTTAAGGTTGTATTTAATGATCAAGTGCCCAATCATTAGTATTTTATACACTCATGCAGCAGCTGATGATCAAGCATTAGAGTATTTTGTAACTTAAGCATCAAGCACTATGCATTAACAAAATACAGCACCGTGAAAAAATGCATGGCAACAGAACACTTAATAGCTTGTTCAATTCCAACTTTACTCTGGTAATGGTGATTCCCTTTACTTGGAGGGTTTTTTTGCTTCATTTAGCAAGGGCCATTATATTTTTATAATTTAACATGTAGCCTGTGACTGGAAGTCTGACCTTTAGTATTTTATGAAATCTTTTCACGTGGCATGCTGTTCAACTGTTCAGTATGGATACTTTCCATTACACAGACTATTAAGTAAAACCCACAAAAAACACAAAAACTAGTGTCATCCAGAATTTGGGAACTCTTTTTTCTGTGCTGCCCCTGTATTTAAATAAGATGCTTTTGTACTAACAAAGTTGGACTTTCACAATCCATTAATTACTGCTTAATTCAGTTACCCAAAGTGGATATGTCCAAAAAAGCACTGTTACCTTTACCACTCTTTGGCTGCTACTGCCTGCAGCCCAGTACAAACAGAGTTCCTATAGACATGCTCTTTGATGTTCTAATTAGAATACGTTGGTGCAGACTTGATTAATCGAGTCTGCTCTGCATTCTAGTTGGAATGCTCCAGCATCACCTCATTAACACGTGCATTAAGCCCCCATGAGTTTCAAAACAGCTGCGGGGGGCACTTTATCTAAACCTTGTCAACTGAACTTTTAATAAAGCATCCAGCAGCCATTTTGAAATGTGCAGGGGCTTGAACACAAGCCATTTTAATTAGAGGAGCTGTCTGGAAAGTGCTCTTATTAAAATGCCTCCACCCCCAAGCACATGTATAGGCAGCCACAGTCGACTAAGAGAGCTTATTGATAATATCGCCTTACCCTAAGGTCCAAGTGGATGAGAAAATCCTTAAGTATCATACCTATCTAACCTGCAGATTACCAGAATAAAGTCCTTCAAGAAGAAGAAATACATACAACCCTAAAACACAAGTTTTGGGGTATTTTACCAAAAGTACCAAAGGCTTATGATCCAGTGAAATAATTCAGTGAAGTAACAAGAAATAATTCATCCCTTTAAGAAAAAGAAAGTCCCTCCCCTCCCCACCAAAGACTGTACTCTAGAGTTTTTGAAAGTTTGTTCACTATGTTCTATGATTCTGCCCGCTCCAGGCATGGTCACATTCTAGCAGACACAAGCCCTGACAGGGATGTACCCAAGTATAAACAACCTATCTGCTCCCATTCTCACGCTCCAAACAAAAGTGAGTGACACCACTCAAATACACTGGAGACTAACCTTCAAAACTAACCACTGGAGCAGGTTTCACTGACCTGTTTCTGGATGTGCTCCCACTGACATGCTCCACAGGGGGAGTGTGTGCTTTCAGGTCTCCTGGCTCTGATACCATACTGCCACGCTGCCAACCCCGATTCTATTCTGACTGGTGTAATAAGCCTTAGTCTTTCTTTCATAAGTTTTTAATGCACATTCCAGCTTTGTGAGAGTTCACAGGGCTCCTACCCCACTCACCCACCATACATTCTCCACAATTAAGTTCAATAAATGAACATAAATAAGGCTTTCTGTGGGTGATATTTTTATTGAACCAACTGCACTGTTTGTCAAGCTTTCAAATGCACTGAATTCTTCAGGTCTGAGGATAGCAGGAACAGTGAGAGTATTCAACCAAATTTGACTGTTATCTGCATGAGAGCACTCCGATTTTGCTCTCTTGCCCAGACCTATCCTCACTGTATAGCTAGCTGTCACCTCAAGTTCAGCAGAGGGTATAGACAAATAAGAGTAAGCTGTTACTATCCAACTGTTATACCTGCATAATTCTACAGCAGTATACGTGCACCAGAACCACTCTTTCACTCCATTTCCTTAAGGATCAAAATTAGAGGGATTTAGCTACTAATCTGTAATGCCAGAGGGGCATACAAACCTAACACTTGTATCATAACTGCTGATACACATTGTAGAGCAGCAGCTCCCCATCTCTTTTAAAGAGTTGAATAGGTATGTCTGTCCAATGGCAGATGTAAATAAAAAGTATTCTCTTCCTTCCACCCCACCACCCTTGCACTCTACACCTCCTTTCTCAGTTCCTGTATGCCAGGGGTGGGCAAAATCCAGCCTGCCAAGGGATTTCATCTGGCCTGCAGTGGGTCCCTTAGCCCCACCTGGCTCAGGCAAAGGGGGCAGCCCAAGCCCTGGTATGCGCAACCAGCCTGGGGCTGGGGCAGCACGGTGACCAGATTCAACTTCCAACTCCTTGCAGCTGCTGCCGCTAGTGTCACTACCACCACTGGACCTGGCCCTGCTGCCTGGGCAAGCCAGCCCATCCTCCTTGCAACCACCGCTGAAATGCCATGAAAACCAGTCCATGACCCCGTGACAGCAGGGTGTGTTTAGCCAGGCAGATGGAATGAGGCAAAAGTCAGGTGGGGATCGGCAGCCGGAAGCGGGCTAGACTGGAGGTGGGGCCTGGATCACAAGATGGTGACAGCAAAGGGCCAGGCCCCAGGGCAAAGCCACAATCCGCTGCTGGCACATCCCTGCAATGGGCACTGGTTCCACATGCAGGAGTGTACCAAGAGCAGATTGCAGTTCTGTCTGAGGCCCTGGCTCTGCGCTGTCACCACCCCAAGATCCCAGCCCCACCCATCCTCCTCCCAGATGCCATTCCCCACCCACCTGTGGCCCCATCCCATTTGCCCAGCCAAGCATGCCCTATGCCAGTCTCCATGGAGACCCCGGGGGGTAGTGGGGGAGAGAGACAGACACATCACTGAGTGGTGACCGTGTGGGGCCAGGCCCCAAGGAAGAGCCACTTAAGGAGTTTTGGTGAGCTGTTGTAGGTGAGGGGAATGGGGGGCAGGGCTGGGGAGATACTAATCCAACCCCCAACAGCTCATCAAAACTCCTTAAGTGGCCCTCCCGCCCACATAATTGGCCATCCCTGATGTAGGCGAGTATTTGTCTATTGGACCATTAACCTGTCAGTCTACTGGAGCAATAAAAGCTAGGTAATATGAGCTAGAGTTTTAGTGGAGACCAGAGAAACGGTCAGAATAAATGAGCTATTAATTCTCTCTTGGAAGCTAAGATACTATGCAAAGGAAGGCAGAAGGGCATGAGGGTGAGGGGAGCAAGTCATACGTTAGCAAGAAGATAGCTTGGAAGGCAGGCATTGGAATAAATTTAAACTAGAGCAATGGAGCTGTTTAGCTAGGAAGATGGCTGAAGGACAGAAGAACCAATTTAGTTCTCTCTAGTGCCAGAGTCAGCCTAGTTGCAGGATTTGAGAGAGTATTAAAAGAAAACCTTAAATTATTTTAAACACCAAATTCCTACTTTAAAGATTAGGTTACTCTGCTGCATGATTCATGACATTACCACGAATGTGGTATGAATGCTCATCTATATATTTCTAGTTTATACACAGAATGATATATGGCAACTGGTTTACAATATGGTTTACATGTGTCTGAATTAAATATATGCAAGTTTATTAATGAATTAGAAATTAAATTTTGTTAAAAAGTTGTAGCACCTAATAAAACATCCATACTAAAAGCTGAGCAAAGTTGGAAGGGTTTGTTGGTAGGTGTTTAAAGATACTACAGCAAAAGCTCTGTTATCCAGCACCCATGGGCAATGGGGGGTGCCGGATAACCAAATATGCCGGTTACCTGAGAGGCCTGAACAGACATCTTTGGCTTTTCAGGCTGCTGCCCCTCCTGCCGCATCTTGTGCGCCACTGCCCCTCCCCGACATCAGCGTGTCAGGGGATGGGGGCCCTATGCTGGCTGAAGGCCCTATGAAGGCTGCTTTGTCCTGGTAGGCACTTCGGGTTTCGCTTTTGCTGCATTGACCAGCATGCCAGTTAATGGAGCATGCCAGTTACTAAAGTGCTGGATTTTACTGTAATTCTATTAATGTTTTATTTAAATCAATTCCTAAATTCATGTCACACTTCTGCATACTCTATTCTGTTTAAGAGTTTGTTAAAATGCAAACTTAACTTGTTAGCAACCTTGACAAAATGCCATATTAGTAAGTTGGCAAATTATGACCCATATTTTGGCACAAGCTTTAACCATCTATACAGTATTGCTTCTGGCAGTTACCTCAAGAAGACTATTTTCATTTGGTACTCCCATTAGAAAAATCTTCCACTTTCCAAAAAATAGAAAGGTTTAATATGTAAGGTGTTTTCTTCTTGCTAGAAATAGTAAGTTTTAAGTATTTTATCAGTTTAGGAAAAAGAAAAATTAAAGCATCCTAACCAGGAGGTCCAGAAGTAGTCCATGGAAAAAAAGTAAAACTGTATTATAATGCTGGAATGTTATTTAGGCTTGCATGTTAAATTCAAGTACGTTGCTCCAGACAATGCCTTAAACTCTGGATTTCTCTTTTCGAAGGACAATCTGTAAGGTTTCACTGGCGTTTGAAAACAGGTAGACTTGTCTAGTCTTACAGCATTTTCATTTATGTATGTGTGTACACAGTCATTTACATACGTTATATTGTGAAAAATTAGGTGAAGTGAAAGCTCCATTTAGCAGTGTAACTTAAATAGGTTAAAGCAGGCTTGTCCAACATGCAGCCCTCCAAGGCATTTTCTGTGGCCCGTGGTGCTGCGATGGGAAACAAAAGTAAACATGGTTTACTTTCATGCCCACCCCTTGTCCCTTCCCCAGCCCCTCAGCAGCTTCCTAATGCCTGCTGAAGGGCTGGGGAAGGGACAAAGTTCCCACACGCAGCACGTCAGCTTGATGTTGCCGATGCGGTGCGCGTGGGAAGAGGACTAGCCATGTGCCTCTCGGGCAGCTTGAGCCCAGCCGGAGCAGCAGGGGCCTCAGCTGCATTTTCCCCCTACCTGTGCCAGTCAGTCCTGAGCGGCACACAGCTTCGCCACTGCTTCTGCTGGCTGGTGCTGACCCGGGCAGGTCTGTCCCATCCAGAGCAGCATGCAGCTGAAGCTGGATTCCCACGTGCTGCTGCGGACAGGAGGAAGCCAGCCAGGTCGGCACCGGCCAGCAGAAGCAGCGGCAGAGCCGTGTACTGCTTGGGACTGACCAGCACAGGTAGGGGGAAACCCCCCCCGCCCGGGCTGGTCCCTTCCCAAGCGGCACACGGCTCCACTGCCGCTTCTGCTGGCCAGTGCAGACCTGGCCGGCCCCCTCCTGTCCCTAGCAGCACGTGGGAAGCCGGCTTCAGCCGCATGCTGCTCCGGATGGGACGGACCCAGCTGGGTCAGCACCGGCCAGGAAAAGCGGCATGCAGCTGAAGCTGAACTGTCCTCACCACGTTTCCCGCCACACTGCCCCTGCTGGGCTCCGGGATCCCCCAGTGGGTTGGGGCCTGCCCCAGCAAGGTTTCTCGCAGCTCCATGCCTGGCGTGGGGCGGCTGTGGGGCCGGGCCGCGGAAGAGTCCAGCGTGGTCAGGCGCAGAATGGAAGCCCACGGCCCCAGGGACGTGCTGCACACGGAGCGTCGGTTCAGCGTCAAGAGGTGCCCTAACCCCTCGGGCCAAATCCTGCTCCATTTACTCCAGGCTCCACGTGCGCGGCCACGCTTCCCTTCTGCACTGGTCCCGGCGGCTCCTCCTTGCCTCCCTGCGCTGGGATGCCCTACCCGGAATGGCATTTGCGTGGTGCCAGGTTCAGCCCCAAAACTTTAGCTAAAGGAAAACTATGGCTAGCTGCGGTTTGGTGGAGGGGCGGGCCCTCCCCAATAGTTTCTAGCGGTGAGAAAGCTTCTTCAGGGGGCAGAGACCCACCAGACCCCGCGACACCTCCTCGATGTTGGAGGTGTGTAGCAAAGGGGAGAAGGGTTCCTGGCAGGAAAGGTGGTGGAGTGAAATAGATGTTTCCCTGGAAGGATTTGATATATGTTGTTGGGTAAAATGAGTTAACTGTAGTGGGATGGCTTCCCTCCACTGGGGATGCTCAGACACTGCACAGCCAGAAACAATGCTAATGTCTTCACTAGGACTCTAAAGCACAGGGCAACTGTACTGATGGACTGTGACATTAACAGCTCTGTGACGCTTGCATGTTATCTGAGAACTCCAGCTTTCTTGCTGAGATCCAGGAAATGCATCATTTAGAGGGAGAGTTTTGAACTAGTTAGACCCATTTCATTGTCACTTCCTGCAACTTTATTGGTGTCAAAGGTGACATCACTTGACATCACTTCCTGATGTGATACCACTTCCTGTGAGGTCTTTGAATATGGCTCGCTGGCCCCCTGGGTGATAAAAAGTTTGTGATCTGGCCTCACATTCAAAAAGGTTGGACACCCCTGGGTTAAAGGGATTCTACATAAAATCCACTAGGCAGATGCAGTAACAACTTTACCACCTTACTTTAACAGATGGCCATGTTAAACATAATTGTCCATGTAATGTTAGCCATATTTTGCACTTATATGTAACATTAATGGCAACTCTGCCTTCAAGTATCTTACAAACTGTTTTAAAACTATGCCCTGCATTTTCAGTAACATTTTATTATTAAATGATCAGTGTAAAAATTGAAAGAGATTCATCAAATCTTTTAAGTAAAACCCTATGCATCCCCAGCTCTGTCAAAAATGATGCTGATGGCAAACTTCACTTATCACCTAAAACACATTTTTGTCCTTGGACACCAACAGCAAATTAAAAAGTGTGCTGTTACTCTACCCTGGCAGTGCTGCAGTGAATTGTTTAAATTGTTTTAACACTCAGCGCTACCTTACTTAAAAGCAGAAGGAACACCAGGTACAGTAAGGGAGTTTAGGGCAAACTTCATTTCTAATTTATACTGGAATTGCTACACTTACATAATACTTCATATGTACGTCAACTACTTATATAACAATATTCTCTCTATTGCAGATGGACTGCATCGATCAGCCTTATTTAAACAAACCTTTATGGTTCTATACAATCTATACATGTTCTAAATGCTATTTCATTATAATATAAACATTTAAAATATAATGGAAAAAATTGGGTAGCGGCAGAACAATACTGCTTCAAACAGACTTCCATTAAAATAGTAATATTGCCTAGTTAAGTGGTCACTGAGAAAAAGTACAAAGTTAGAGATTTAGAATTCTACACATTAAAATAAACTCCCTCTGCATGAAAGTACCCTGAAAGCAATGTTAAGTGACCACCTTGATACCAAAGAGATTTGTGAAGCCATTATAAGTGTTTTATGCAGTACAAAAAAACCAAAAAAACCAAAAAAAAAACTTGACCTAATAAACTTGACTAAACAATACACTTTAGGACTACCCTCTTCAAAAAGACACATTAATTTGTGCTTCAGAATATTAACCAACACCAAAACAATCTCTGCTACCAGACCTTGTCTAATTTCATTTTTATTACTACTCAATACTGCTATCGTCTGTTTTTATCTGCTATTTTATGCTTTCTATTTAAATCAGGTGACAATGTCTGTCCATGTCATTTATGCTGTCCTAACTAGATGCCCTAAATATCTGTTTTTAAGATCACCTGGGCAAAAAATATGCTCAGAAATATTATTTCTCTACAGGAGCACATTTTGTAATCTTAATGGTTTATTAGCAAAATATCAAGTTTCAGATTAATGAGCAGCTAAAACGGATACAAATCAGTTCTTCTGAACTAACTCTACATCCACAGTTGAAGGCATTTTGAAGTATACTATAAAGTACAGATTTTAACCACTCTAGGTAAATAAATTGGGGAACCAAATAAGACTTCAGCTTCAAAAGCAAAAAAAAACAAAAAAACAAAAATCACATTAGACTAAACTTATTTTTCTGGTCTGTTCTGGAGAGTCACCTACTTACAGATTTGGCAGTTGCAGAAATGTACTGGACAACCATCTCACGCTTTGTGGTCAGGTCCTTATTCCGTAAAGGAGCTTTCCGTTCTTCATTTAGATTCATGTCTTCCTGTAAAGGTAAAAATGATATAAAATATCAGGTTTATACTTATTCTTTGGTTTTTTTAATCTTCACCACAGCTGACTAATGTGTGACTGGGCTTAGTGGTTTATCTGTGATCATTTCAGTTAATTTTGAATTGTTCTAGTTTGGTTTCATCTCAACTGCCTATTTAAAATTTACTCTATATTAAAAATTGATTGTTAACTCTAACTTTATAGTTTTCCATAATATACCTAAAAATGAGTGCTAGAATCAGCACGTCTGTTAGAATCACCACATTGAGGTGTGGGGGTGGGGAGGGGAGAGGAGAACAAGTTATAAAAAAACTGAGCAAAAGTAAATATTTCAAGCATTAGTCCTTGAAACAAAATTTTATTAGATGTTTAAGTGGCATACAATATTCTCACTTTAGACCGTACTGTTTTGGAGCCATCCAAAAAGTTTAAACTTTCAATACAATACACAAAGAGTGTGCTTGAATTCTTTCTTCTTAAACAACAATATTCTGTAATGGGCTTCCAAGCTCATATTGGACACTTAATTGCCTTTTCAGTACAATTTCTCATCAATACATTTAGTGTTTTTCACGAAAACAGAAAGGAACAGTCACTTGCCAAAACTCACTCATAAGGGCAGGAACAGAACTACAAATGCGAACCAGGAATCCTAAATCCCACTCCAGTGAAATTCATTAGATACTACTGCTTCCAGCACTTGCTACAAGAAGGATTTATTTAAAAAAATGAAAATGTTAAGTGACTTTGCACTACTGGTCCCAATGATTTCCAATAATATGGCCTGACAGAACATATCGTGAAAACACATTCGTTTTTTTCTGACATGTAAGAGTTCGGGTCCAGGAGCAGCAGTTTGAGTCCAGGAGAGGGCAGAGACGCATAGGTGTAAGCCCATCGTGACCCTGCACTCCAAAGACCCTCAGCAGCCACAGCAGACCCCCATCTGACCTCAGCAGACCCAGAGGTGAGCAGGACCCATGGAGGGAGGGGACTAGCCAGCTGCAGGAAGGTAGCTGAGAGGAGCCAAGGAGGAGTTTGCCCTGCCTCAGCTCCTACTTGGCCCAGCCCCCCCAGGGAGCCACATGAACAGGATACTCAAACAGGTGTGCTTCTGGGCCTGGCACTCAAGTTAGCACAGAAGTTTGCGCAGGAGCAACAGCTGAAAGGCATGAGGGTCCAGGCACTGAGCTCCAGTCAAGGGTCTGCACAGCAGTAGCCAGACTACTACAAGGACAATGGTTAGTGGGACACATTATACCCCGAGGCTCCCCGCTACACCTGGACTCCACACCTCTGCCACCAGTGGGGTATCCACCCAAAGGGAGCCCATGGTTCCGGCCTATACCCAAACGGAGCTTGCGGTCCCTGCCCCCACCCGGGTGGGACCCTCTGCCCCAGCCTCGACTCAGATGGAGCCCCTGGCTCCATGTGGAGGCTGCCTAGCAAGATTGCAGGCAGCTTGGATTGGGGACATTAATACCTCCCCTTGTAGGGTGTGCCCAATGGTGGAGGCCGTGGAGTACCAGATCAGGGAACTCCAGGCAACAGTTCAGCGGCTGCACTCCATTAGAGATGCGGAGCAGGAGCTGGACTCTTACTTTCAGGCTCTCTACCTGATGGCTGATGAAAGCATGGCGGAACCAAGGAACCGCCATGAAGTCCAACCTGGGGTTGTCCGGACAATGGTGGTCTCTGGCCCAAAGAGGCACAGTGCCAGGGTTACCACTCCCCTAGAGCTGCAAAACTGTTTTGCACCTCTCACACCAACTGAGCCAGCCATACCACCGACTCCAGCATGTGAGGACAGAGGGCCACCAGCACCTGTGCCTAGAAGAAGGCACAGAGTTATCATGGTGGGTGACTCCCTCCTTAGGAGGACAGAGGGAGCAATCTGTCACCTTGATCCCTTAGCCCATGGGGTCTGATGCCTGCCTGGAGCTCATGTCCAGGATGTGACAGAGAGGATCCCCAAACTTTTCTGGCCCTCTGACCATCATCCCATGCTACTCATCCATGGGGGCACAAATGATATGGCACAGAGCAGTCCGGGCCGGATCATGCGTGACTACAGGGCTCTGGGGGCTGGGCTCAGGGGGGCTGGGGGCACAAATAGTTTTTTCATCAATCCTCCCGGTCACAGGACATGGGCTCTGAGGGAAAGGTGCATCAGCAAGGTGAATACAAGACTCCAGTGATGGTGCTATCGTGAGGGGTTTGGCTTCTTTGACCACAGTTCACACTTCAGAAAGAGCAGACTGTTGGAAAGGGATGGCCTCCACCTCACCTGGAAAGGGAAGCAGCTCTTCTCAGCCAGAATGGTTGACCTTTTTGACAGGGCTTTAAACTAAGACTGCTGGGGGATGGATGGTCTATTAACAGTTCTAGCCCAGGTCATGTCAGCCGCGTTACTAATAACTTGGGCAGCCCAAGGAAACCCGTTCTGACGACAGTCCAAGGAAAGGTCCTGCCTCATCCCATAGGGAAGCATGGGGCTTCTCATGGCAGATTTAACTGCCTATACATGAACGTCAGGAGCTTGGGAAACAAGCAAGAGGAACTGGCCCTTCTCTTACGTGAAAATGACTATGACCTTGTAGGGATAACAGAGACCTGATGGGACCCTACCTACGATTGGTCTGTTGCTTTGGAGGGTTATACCTTGTATAGGAGAGACCGTCTTGGGAAGAGGAGTGAGGGTGTTACTCTCTATGTCAAGGATCAGTTCACTTCCCTGCAAATTGAGTTTTCTAACCAGGACAGGTGTCTTGAGACCCTCTGGGTCAAAATATGGAGAGAATATGGGGAGGGTGACATACTTGTAGGAGTTTACTATAGACCTCCCCACCAAGAGCAAGAACTTGATCGGGAATTCAATAGGGAACTGGTCAAGGCCATGCACTCCTGATGCATGATCGTAAGGGAAGTTGAAGTCCCCCATGACATCTCTTGGGATGAGCGCATGGCCAAATCCGACAGGTTGTGCAGCTTTCTTGTTTGCATTGATGACCTCTACCTAACACAGGAGGTCTACGGGCTGACAAGGGGGGAGGCATTACTTGAGCTGGTGCTTGCCAAAGAGGGGGAGCTGGTGAGCAATCTGAGGATCAAGGGGAAGCTCGGTGACAATAACCATGATTTGGCCAGCTTCTGAGTTCACCGAAGAGCAGGCAAATCCCCCAGTAAAACAGAAGTCCTTAACTGTGGAAAGGATGACTTTCGCATAGTCAGAGATTTGGTAAGTCAGGCAATTAGAGGCCATACCCCCCTAGATAAAGGAGTACACAAAGAATGGTCATCTCACAAAAATATAATCCTCGAGGCACAGGGGACAGCTATTCCATCTCACAAGAAATGTAATCAACGGGCAAGGAGGCCCCTTGGCTGAACAAGGAATTGTTGGACCTCATTAAAATCAAAAGAGAAGCCTGCACCAGTTGGACAATGGGAAGCATCACCAAAGAGGACTACTCAGCACTCATCCGCACCTGTAGGGAGCAGTCCAGAAAAGCCAAGGCACAAACCGAACTCAGGCTAGCTAGGGGGATCAAGGACAACAAAAAGTCCTTCTTTAGATACATGGGAAGTCAAAAAAAGAACAAAGATAGCACTGGGCCCCTGCAAAATCAAATGGAGCAGCTGACATCCAATGCCCAAGAAAAGGCCAATCTCCTAAATGACTTTTTTGCATCGGTTTTTCACCCTCTCATGGGGATCACACTGTCAGAAAGGACACAAGCCATCCTGGGAGTGGGTGGTGGGCCCAAAAACTTGATGTGGATCAGGTGAGGGAACACCTTAAGAAACTGGACATTCACAAGTCCATGGGCCCAGACAGAATGTACCCAAGAGTCTTGAAGGAGCAGGCAGACATCACTGCAACCCCCTTGGCAAAGATATTTGAAAATTCGTGGCACTCAGGTCAGGTCCCAGAAGACAGGGACCACGTTGGCTCTTTTCCACTCTTCAAGAAAGGAAAGAGGGATGACCAGGGAATTACAGACCAATCAGTTTGACGTCCATCCCTGGAAAAATCCTGAAGAAAATTGTCAAGGGATCCATCAACACCAGACTAGCGGAAGGCAAGCTTCTGAATGCCAGCCAACATGGCTTTGTGACTGGTACGTCTTGCCTGACCATCCTCATCTCCTTCTATGACCATGTGACAGGATCCCTGGACAACAGAGATGACGTGGATGTCATATCTGGATTTCAAGAAAGCCTTTGACCTAGTTCTCCACAATGTCCTCATGGCTAAACTGGGGAACTGTGGCCTCAATCATCTTATGGTCCGATGACTAGCTAACTGTCTACGGGGTCAGACCCAAAGAGTACTTGTTGACGGGAGCAAATCAACGTGACGCAGGGTGACCAGTGGAGTCTCTCAGGGCTTGGTACTTGGGCCAATACTCTTTAACATCTTCATTAGCGATCTGGAGTCAGGAGTCAGATGCAAACTGGCAAAGTTCGCAGATAACACCAAATTATGGGGGAGGGCGGTCACACCGCAGGATAGGCTGGGGATACAGGCAGACTTGGACATGCTCTCAAGGTGGGCTGACCAAAACCTGACGGCCTTCAAATGTAGAGAAGTGTAAGATGCTGCACCTCTGTAGGATGAACCCTCAACATACTCAGAAGCTCGGCAGTACTATGCTTGCTAGCACCACAACCGAAAGAGACTTGGGGGTCCTGACTAACCACAAGATGAAAACGAGTCACCAACGCAATGCTATGGCTGGCAAAGCAAACCAAACTCTGGCATGCATCTACCGATGCATCTCAAACAAAACCAGGGATGCCACCCTCCCACTTTACTCAGCCTTTGTGAGGCCACAGCTGGAGTACTGCGTCCAGTTTTGGGCCCCCCACTTCAGGAAGGATGTGGAACAGCTTGAGAGAGTGCAGAGGAGAGCCACTTGTATGGAAGACAGGCTGTGTGAGGAGATGCTGAGGGATTTGGGACTCTTCAGTCAGGAAAAGAGAAGGCTC